GCGCCCAGCCTGTTTTAACCCACCGGGTCTGGGATGTGAACCGTGGTTGACTACGTGGGAATCCAGCGATGTGGCCATTACACTAACTGCTGGTCCCAAGATTTATTTTTTTTTAAAGAATTATTCTATTTAATTTTATTCATTTATTTAGAGCAGAGAAGAACAGAGCAAAGAGGGAGAGGGAGAGGGAAAATGAGATCTCTACCAGTAAGGACTGCAAATGCCGTATCACTTTAATTAATTTGTACCAATCTTACCATGAAGTTGAGAATCTCTATATATTTAGAAGAAATGTATACTTTCTTTTTTTGCAGTTTCTCATTTCTTTGATCATTTTTAAACTGAATTTCTAGAATTTTTCGTATTGACTTTTTAAACAGAATTATTTTATTTAACTTTATTTTATTTACTTATTTATTTTAATTTGACCGGAGGGGGCCAGAGGGTGAGAGAGGAAGAGAGGGATGAAAAACGAGAAAGCAAGCCATCAGATCCGGGACTCAAACCGTGGTCGGTCATGTGGGAGTCCAGTGTCTTTAACCACCATATGCCCCTACCAGTCCCACTATTGACATGGAAAATTTCTCTTTACACATTAAGATATTAGCACTTTTGCTGTTATGGATTTCAAATATTTTTTCCCCTGCTTTGTCATTTGTCTTTTGACTTTGTTTATACTACATAATTTGCTGCTCAGTTCCCTCTCGCATAAAAAGAAAAGAACTGACCTGAACCATTATCATTCTTTCGTGCTCATCAACCAATATGCTTTTAGCTACTTCAAGTTTCTTCCTCAATGTGTTCAATATTTCCTGGAATAATTTCTGTAGAGAAATGGGTCACAAAAATCCAAGTAAGTTATCTGCTGTAGAACAGGTGGATTCCTAACCTTAGGAAAAAGTGAGCCAGTCCCTTAGCAGAGTGGTTAAGGAAGCCAATCTTACATGGCCAACCATGGTTTGGAGCCTGGTTCTGGCAGGTTTATTTAGTTTTTTAATTTACTTACTTAAAAAAAATTTATTTATATTATTTATTATTAGTATTATTTTTAAGTTTCCTATAGGGCACACGTGTTCATGAGAGAAAGAGAAAAAGTGAGAAAGCAAGCCACCAGGTCTGGGACTCAAACTGCAGTTGACCATGTGGGAGTCTAGTGCCTCAATCTCCATACCATCTGCTAGTGCCCTGGCAGGCTTAAAAACATACCAGGCACTTGTGTGTGCATGCCCAGAATTCCAACAGGATAGAAAAATGGAGAAGGGATTGTAACATAAGCATGCCCCATTGGGGGGTGTTTTCTCCCTCTCTCTAGTAAGCATACATACCCTTTAGCAATTAAAAAAATAATGTTCTAATAGCCTGACAATGTTTCCTTAGCCTCAAAGTCTGATTCCACAAAATATGGCACTTGTCTAGTGTTCTTTAATAAACACCAACTAAGGGAATGGTCTTGGGAGGATCAGAATATCTGTCCAATTAATCAGTCAGCCTAGGAGTTGGCCCAGCCTAGTGGCACAATCTGTAGCAGACTGAATTGCAGTGCTGTTAACCACATGGCCACCCTTGGGTTTGGGTTCCCAGTCAGCCTGAAAAACATGCCAGAACTGAGAAGCTGGAAGGCTGGGCAAAGGGGATCATGGAAAAATGGGACCCCGTGGAGGGTGCGACCAACTTTGTCTCTCATGCACACACAAGCATTCTTTTTTTTTTTTTAAAGGATTATTTTTAAATTTTTATTTATCCATTCATTTATTTAATTTGACCAGATAGAGAGAGACACAGAGAGAGGAAATGTAAGAAAGCAAGTCACCAGGTCCAGGACTCAAACTGTGGTCAGCCATGTGGAAGTGTCTAGTTCCTTAACCACCATGCCACCTGCTAGCCCCCCTTCCCCAAGCATTCTATCATAAATAAAACAAGTGTACTATAAATTAGTGAGAGCTGTGCAGGATGAAATCCTCATGAGGCTTACCCTGTACTTTTCCGCAGCTTCTTGTATCCCGTACACAATGTGATGCTTGTGCTCCTGGGACTGCAAGCATTTGCCACAAAGTGTCATTTGGTCATCATCACAGAACAGCTCTGGTGGCTCCAGATGTGTCCCACAACAGGCGTCTTGTGGGATGTGCTGCCTCTGGGGACTGAGCCTTTCAGACATCCTGGTTGGTGTTCCTGGTTGAGGACTGGATTGCTTGTTTCTGGTGTGGAATCCTTCCGGAACTCTAAACGGAAAAAGACTGGTGTGTTCTTCGCTACATTCCGGAGCAGGCACAATGGCCCCACCTCGGGTGCACAGTGAAGCATCAAAGACTCAAGGAAACAGTCCATGCAGACAGAGCTAGTCAGCTCCTCCCAGGCTCCTCAGACACAACAGCCCTTTTGCAACCTCATGCCTGGGGAAGGAGAACGTTATGCCAGTGTTCTAAGATCAGAGGGGCTCTCTCGGGTTTGCTGACAATCTAAGAAACAGACTAAAATTTAATCACAAGCAGCAGAGTAACGCAGGACTTCCCCGCTAGTCCTTTAGGGGCTGAGAGGAAGCAGTGCGCAGTAGAAGGCCCAATAGAACAGCCTTGGGAGAACTTCGGGACTTGGATGTGGTGCAGCCTGGTATGCATGGCCAGCATTTGGCAAAATCAGGAAGCGTGGGTCTCTGAGTGCCTCCTTAGGAGAAAGAAGTGCCTGGGTGCCAACTCACTTTCTGGCTCATGTAAGTACATGTGAACCTGAGAATTGAATGTTTAATACAGTCTTGCTCCCAAGGGGCCCCAACTTCCTGCCTAGATCTGTCTATTAAATAAATCTGGGGGCTAGCAGGTGGTATAGTGGTTAAGGTGTTGGACCCCCACACGGCCTACTGCAGTTTGAGTCCTGGACCTGGCAGATTGCTTTCTCACTCCCCGCCCGGCTGTGTCTTCAGGGTGTGGTTGCCCTGTAGCAAATTAAAAAGTAATAAGAATGATAAAATTAAATTAAATAAGTAAAAATTAAAAAAAGAGAAACCGCCAAAGAAGAAAGAAAACTATACATTCACTTGTTTTGTTTTGTAGGAAACTGATAAAGACCTAAATTCATCCACACCCACATTTCTATATGAAATTACATGATTGCCTTTGAACAACATTTTAAATTCTTCTCTAAAATATTATATTGCTTTTTTAATTGCCAGAGGGTCTGTGTGCTCTCCAGAGAAAGACAGGGAAGGAGAAGAAAGGGAAAAAAACCGCCCCCCCCCCATCCTCAATGGAGCACAGTCACGCCTCAATCAATTCTCCTTTATTTCTCCATCCTGTGGGGATTCGAACCACAGTTTGTCATGTAGCATTAACCACTAGGCTACAGGGCCGGCCCTAGAAATATTATTTAAATGATGTGGTTAAAACATCTTCCGGGAACCAGCAGTTAGCGTACTGGCTATGTCCTTGGACTCCCACGTAGTCAACGGCGGTTCGCGTCCCGGACCTGGTGGCTTAAAACTCACGCCGGGCGCATGAGCATGCATGCCCAAGATCCCGAGAGGAGAATGGAGGAGAAGGGATTGTGGTGTGGCCATCTCCCCTGGGGGTGATTTCTCGCTTTCTGTCTCTATGTCTCTCTCTGTCTGTCTGGTGAGCGCACGCGCCCTATAGCAAAAATCTCTCCAAAAAAAAAAAAAGAAAATGCACTTCTGTGATTGCTTCAGTTCCTGTTATCCTGGACACTGTTTCTGTGGAGTGTTTTTACTTTTTTTTTTTTTTTTTTTTAGAGATTTTTGCGATAGGACACATGTGCTCACAGGAGCAAGAGAGACGGAAATGAGAAATGAGAACTCACTCTCCAGGGTGTGGGTGGTGGCCGCTCTGCAATCCCTTCCCCTCCACTCTCCTCCAGGGATTTTGGACACAAAGGCACACAGGCCGGTATGTTTTTCAAATAGCAGGGTCCGAGATTCAAACCATGAAAGTCACCCAGGTGGGATCCAGCTTTTTTTCTTTTTTAAAAAATTACTTTATTTAACTTTATTTATTTATTATTATTTGACCAGAAAGGGACAGACTGAGTGAGAGAAAGAAAGAGTCTTTCTTTCTGGTGAGTGCACATACCCTATAGTGAAAACCTCTCCAAAAAAAATGTCAGGTCCAGGACTTGAACTGCCTCTGGCCATGTGGGAGTCCAGCACCTTTAACCACTGTGTCACCTGCCAGCCCCATATCCAGCTTTCTTACCCACCACTCCACCTGCTGGCTTGAATATTTTTAAAGAACAATAGAAATGAACTATGGTTATTTTAGATTTGGTAATTTGGAAGATATTTTTCTAGCAAAGCAGCCCTATCATTTCATGAAAATTAGATGCATACTATTAAATATAATTATGTAAGAGTAAAAGAGAAATTCAAATTATAAGACAGACCAATAGATTTTAAGGAGGTTGTACAAAAAATTCATTGATCAGACTACAAAAAATTTCAAAAGTATCTGAAAAAACTGTTAAAGTATTTGCCCCCTTTCCAAATATATATATATATGTGAAGTCAAATTATCTTCCTATGTTCCACCAAGACAGCATACTGCACTGGACAGAATGTTAAAGCAGATATGAAAAAAGGTTGCTCCAAGAAGCCATGTATTGAAGAGATTTGCAAACCGCTGAAACCATGCCACTCTCTACTCTTATAACTAGTTTTACTAAATGATTTTTTTCTGGGGCCAGCAGGTGGCGTGATGGTTAAAGGCACTGGACT